GCTGCTACCCTGCCGGGGGTCCGGCCCTTGGCCGCTGCTGGGGGCTGCAGCGGGGATAATAGCGCGGGGACCTGGAAGGAGGGGGGCTCTCTGGTCCTCGGGCGGGGTGACGGGGTGTCTCCGGTCCCCAGGGGTGGCACTTGCAGAGGGTCCCCGTGCAGAGCAGGGTCCCCATGCCCCATACTCGGTCCTCACGCAGGGTCGCTGCGTTTCCACGACCCATAGAGAGTCCCCATGCGGGGTCCCTGGTCCCCAAGGAGGGTCCCTGCAGAGGGAGTCCCCCCCCGCCATCCACAGCTGCCCCAGGCAGAGCTGTGTGCCCCGCAGTGTCCGGCTGCAGGGGTCTCTGCCTGAGCAGGGAGCACAGTTACCATTCATCTCTGCTTTTTTGTTGTTTGGGTTTTTTTTTCCTCTTCTCTAAATTCCCAGCTCACACGATCACGTAGGAGAGACGACAGCACACTGCATGGATGGGTTGTGAGCTTCCTCCCCAGCTCACCCCTGGCTTTCTGAGACCCTCATCCCCCAGCAGACCCCACTCTGGGGTGTTTTCTCCCACGTTCAGCTCTGCACATCAGGGCTGCTCCTTGGCAGAGAAGCGGACTTGGCCGCCTGCCTCCTTCCTGTATCTCAGCAGGGTGAGTCAGTGCCTCGCCGTCCCCAGCGCCAGCTCTGCCCGCAGGCTGGTCACTGCCAAGCCGGGACGGGGGGGCATCCCCTCAGCCCTTTTCTCTGCCTGAAAGGGAGTTTCCAGTGTCTGTGGTGTGTCCCGCCTGCCCCGTTCTCAGTGTGTTTCTCTCACTGTCTGGATGACTAAAGATAACTGGATATTGTTTGTGTCCCAGCTCTGTTTTTGGCTACTGTTGCTTTCCTGTCCCCCCCAAGCCTTCTGGGATATCCTGCTGCCAAAAACTACTTTGTGCTGGGGATCGGGTACCTGCACCCTGTGCACTTGCCCTTAGCTGCTGGCTTCAGCTCACATGGTGGTTACGAGGGATGAACTTTGTCCACTTGAATGTTTAACCATATCCAAAAAGCACCTTCAGTCCTGCATGTTCGTTTCCACCTGAGCATGCGTTACCACCACAGTGGCCTGGGCCTGGAGGACTTGGGGAAACCAAGCTGGTGGAGCAAGAGGAGGGTCCCATGGGCTCTGAGAATCTGCAAGAGCAAATCTCTGCTGGGTACCTGCTGGCTCTGGCTTGCTCACAACTCTGTGTGTTGTGGCACAGCCTTCGGGCAGCAGCAGCCATTTACTGCTGACCTCCTGCCCTGCCCTGCCCTTCCCTGCCCTGCCAGCCAGCGGGGAGTTGAGGAGGCAGGGCCAGGGAATTAGCTCAGGTCTCAGCTATGTGACATGTCTGTGTTGACTGGCACTGGTCACTACTGTGAGGTGTGGAGACTGTTTCTGGGCACAGGAATCCCCTGGAGCACCCCGAGTTCCCCAGGGCTTCCTGGGGCTCGAGTCCCTGCTGCGGGGATGGTGCTTGTGGGTGCTGCCTGCACAGAGTGACACACACCCAGGCTACTGCTGCTGTGGCCTCTGTCCTGCCTTGCTGGGAGGGGGTTGGAAAAGCAGTGATATCATCAGCACCAGCATGGAGCCTGACTCATCCCGGCTCTTCAGCACAAGTCGTGCCACTCAGCCAGGCACACATTTTATTCCAATTAAAACAACACAGGCAAGCCAGCTACACATAATGATTTTTTTGCTTCTGGCCAAGCGTGCCTGCCCCTGGCCAGAAGGTGAGAGGGGATAGAGGTGACACTGAAGTCGGTGGAGTCTCCACTACTGGTAGGAAGTCCTAAGAATAAGCCCTGCCAGATACCTGGAGGGTCTGCCTCGGCCGCTGCAGCATCCCTGCCTCCGTTGTGCCTCCAGAGCAGGCTGATGGCACTGTCTTGTGTCAACAGCCCTTGCCCTGACCGCAATTCCCAGGTCCCTGGGAGGTGTCCCCTGGAGAGCCGGGTCACAAGCCCAGGTAGGAATGATGCCTCTTCTCTTCACGACACAAGAGTTCAGCTCCTGCCAAAAGTCCCCAGGGGAACCAGCATCAAAGTGCATCCATCATCAGGAGAAAATGTAATGTGACTTGTTTCTCCTGCCCTTCCTGCTCAGGTTTCTCACATCTATTAGAGGTCTGGAGGTGAGTCAGGGAGCTGGGGGGCGAGAATGGAGCTGGGGAGGAGTTGACTGCTAAGGGAAAGGTGAGCCTGTGCCAGGCAGGTGAATCACTTGCTGGTGAAAATAGATCTTATTCTCTACGAGGTGTGCGTGGATGGGGCTGGGAGTGAGCCACAGCTTGACTTGATCAGTAAATTGTGAAGTCAAGAGAGACAAAGCTGCTTTCCCAGGAAACAAAGCAATACATTGCAAGGGAGCAGCCCACAGCAGGCAAGGCTCCAGCAACCCGTGGTCCTGCGGCTCCCTTAAAAGGGGTGATTTTAGCCTGGGACAGCGGGGAGACAGAAAAGCCATAAACACCCTCAGAGGAATGTGGCTGCTGAGAAACCAGCATCTCCGCAGGGCCAGGGAGGGGAGGCGAGTCAGGGGGACCTGGGCTGTGCTGAGGTGCCGCCTGGCAGGGGTTCGCAGCATGGCTCCATGCCAGGAGCCCGCTGGCTCCTTGGCCATGCCCTGCCCCGAGGGAGGGAGCCCAGTTCCTACACTAGCGGTCCCTGTGAGGTGCTGGGGGAGGCTCCTGCCAAGCCTCGGGGGTGTCACGTCCCCATGTCCTCAGGCTCCACACCATGCAGACATCCCCGACAGCCAGCTGCTGGCACGGGAGCTGTTAGAGTTGGGAGGTCGTGTGGGGGCAGCAGGACACCCAGCCGTGGGCGAAGAAGGATCATTCCTGGAGCACCTTGGCAGACACCTGAACAGAGTGAGGAGAGGTCCCACATCAGACTGGGGCATGCTGTCTGCTGTCTGCTCTCACCTGCTTGCCCTGCAGTTTAGGCAGGCTGGCTCATTCCCAGACGCACCAGCAGCCATGCTCAGACATGGTGTTTTCCCCCAGTAAACCCACCAGCCTCGCTGGGACCTGCAGCTTGCTTTTACCCTCCCGCATAAGTAGAGGTGACTGAGGCCATGCAGCAGAGCAATTCACCTGCTCTGGCCCTCCCTGGTCACTGACCTCATCCACTGAAGGAGCAGGGCCAGCCTGGCCTCGAGAAATGGTACCAATCCAGCCATGAGGAGGCCAGGAGCTGCTCAGGGCTGGCTGGTCCTGCTCTGCAGTAACATCTTCAGGGGCTTTTTAGTTGCTTTGGGTAACAAGAGCTGTGGAAGCGCAAAGGATGGTTGCTTGTATTGGTGACTGCCATGTACCCTGCGTGTTTGGGCAGGGTGGACAGAGGTCCCCAGCTCCCCTAGTGTTCCCTTTTCCCCATAGGACAGTACTTTACACACCTGCCTGTCCTGGTCCCCAAGGTAGACTCAAAGGAAGGTGAAGCTGGTGTGCAGGCTCCTCCAGATGCCCTGCACCAGGCAGGGGCTGAGGTGCAGCTCCACACTTGCTGTGCACCCCAGTAAATCCTCCACCTGCAGCTCCTCCACCCTCTTCTGCTGGACACTGGGCAGTGCCGTCAGGGACCCCCGCTGGAAATGGGGCAGTGTGAAGGCCATGCTGGCCACCGGCAGCACCAGGGACTAGAGTTTGCCGGCACGGGATGGGGCTTTGCACTGCCAATACATGACTGCGGGGCAGAGCAGCTGGGACTAGACCAATGCATAGGACGGTCCCGTGGGATAGAGCATGCTGGAGGCAGAAAGGTGAGTAAGGATGGGTGTGGGCATCATGAGAACGTCCCTTGTGGTGGCAGGTGGCATCATCTCATCCTGCCCTTGCAGGGAAGCAGCCCTGGGAGGTGGCTGCAGAGGGGAAGTGCTGGCTGAAGGCAGAGCTGGGGCGGGGGGGCTCTGTGGGGCTGCCTGGGCTGGTTCTCTCCTGCAGGCTGGTTTTCTCCCTGCCCAGCTCAGTCATACCCACTGCCAATCCAGGGGCAGGCAGTCCATAATACACCTGTGCCTGCGTAATACAGGCTGCGGGGAGCCCCCCACCCAACTGTCTCCCTCCAAGGCTCAGCCCCTGCTGGTGCCATGGGGCTGTCTGGAGAGCAGTGCCCTGGCAGGGCCACCACTATCCCCAGCCCTCTGGCCTGTCTGCCTGTGTCTCCCTGCAGAGTGATGTCCAGGCCACAGTGTGCAGGCATCTCCAGGCTCCGTGATAGTTTTGTGAGGAGCCCTCGGGGTTGAAGGTGCCCCAGCCCCTTCCACAGGCAGCCGCAGTGCCCGGATGCTGCCCACAGCCCATTGCTGCCCCACTGGCAGTTCCTGCCATGCTGTCAGCATCTCTTGCATGCCCTGGCAGAGTGCGTCTTGCTTGTGGCTGCTGGATCCCCACAGGATCCACTGGCTTTGCCCAGCTGGCCAAGACCCAGACAGCCCTGGGCAGCACGTGAGCGGCTGCCTGCTGTCTCCCGGGCAGGCAGGGCTGGCAGAGGGTGGCTTGCATGGCACTGCCAGAGCCTGGCTGCCCTCGGCTGCCCTCGGCCGGGAGGGGTTTCCTCTCCATCAGCTCCTGCTTCTTCGGGGGCAGGATGAGCAGTCCCATGTAGGCTCTGCTCTCCCTGCTGTCCGTGTCCTGGGGCATTGCGTAGGCCGTGGGCAGGTCCCAGCAATGTTGCTTCACCTGTCCAGCCCTGAGAGCAGCAGCATCTAGGAGAGCACCGAGAAGAGAGTTACAGGGGACGTGGAACAGTGGCTGGCCAGGTCAGACAGGAGCACCAGGAGACAGAATGGCTGCAAGGAGAAGGGGTCGAACCCCCTTGTAGAGAGTTATAGCAAGGCAGGGACAGAGGAGAGCTTGCAGCCATGGCTGCTCCCTGCAGCCATGGGAGGGGGGATGAAGCTGTGGTGTCTCAGGAAGGCCCGGGCTGCTGCAGAGGTTTGCTGGGTGCTACATTACCCATCTGGCTGTTTAAGCTTCAGCTGCTCTTCCCACCACCCCTGCAGGTTTCGCCTCCTGTCTCTTTGCAACGAGCTCCTGGCCCCCGGCTGCCCTACAGGTGCTCCCCACAACAGGGAAACCCCACCGGCTGTTTTTACTGCCACAGGGGCTTCAAATGCAGTGAGGGTTAGTGCTGGAGCCCTGTCATGCAGGATGATCCTTTCTGCCATAATCATGACTTTTTTACCCTCATTAGCTTTAAAACTCCATTGGCCTTAGCGGAAAGGCAGCATGAAACAGCCCCGAGCAGGGCTGTGCCATGGCTCCACTCTGCAGCACTGTCCTGGTTGTGCAGAACCAGCCCTTCAATGGGATCTGCAACCTCCCTGCTTGTCTGTGGGGATCTCTGAAGAGAGAGACCCCTTCCCCATGGGACAGAAGCTCTGCGTGCTTGGCCCTGGCAAAGCCTAGAGCAGGGATGGCCATCCTGAGCATTCAAATCCATGCAAAGCCACGCTCCCAAGCCTGCCAAAGAGAAGATGGCATTGCCTCTCCCTCCTGCCTTCCAAGTTCGGGGCTTTCCCTTAATGCACGTTATTCTCTTCCACAGAGGATGGACACCCCATTGCCTCCCACTCAGTGAGAGAGCAGCTGAGCCATGTGGTCCCAGCACTCTGCCCCACACCTGGAGCCCCCCACCAGCATGTCCAGACCATTCCCTCCTGGGCAAGGGGTCAGTGCAGCCCGTACCTCCTTGCTGGGCTGAGCCAGAGGGTGCAGAAGCTTGCCCTGTCTCCCACGCTGCACTGCAGGCACCAAGCACCAGTGGAGGTCACCCTGTGGGGCGGTGTGGGAGGCTGCTTGCACATGTGCTCCTGCTCTCCCCGCCGCTTCTCCAAGCAGCCACAGGAGATGAGAGGGGAGCCCACCCATGTACTGCCACAGCCCTGTACCCCAGGAAACTGGAGCCTGTGAAGTGGGAAGAGGGTCTAGGGGTCAGAAGTGGCTGGGGACACCGGAGGCTGGGGGGCTCCAGCCCTCACCAGGATGATCCCACTAGTGCTGTCACATCAGCAGGACAGAGGGTGGCCCTGGGAAACTGGTCATGGGGACAGTGCTGTGTGAGTGCTGGGCATCCCAGTGAGGTCTCATCCCCGTGGCCATCCCAGCAGCCTGGGGTCCTGAGACCCCCTGGCCCTGTTCACCAACAGGGGAGATGGGAGGAGGAGCAGAAATGAAACTGCCTTCTCCAGCCCCTGACCTTTAAGGCACACGCTCTGTCTCTGTTTTGTAGTTAAACACTGCTGGGTGAAAAAGCCTTCCCTGGCTTGGCAAAGTGCTGCTGATAGTCTTGTCAGTACCATGAGCAGGGGACTCTGTCAGGGAAGCACATCAAAACAGTGATGTGGGACAGGCTGCCAGAGTGGGGGGAAGCGTGGCTGGCAGCAAGCACCCCAGCAAGGTCCTATAGCCTCAGCTTGAAGGCGCCAAGATGTGTCCAGAGCCGTGCTGAGGACGAGACAGGACTGTGAGAGATGCCTGGGGCCAGAAGCACCTCGGAGGATGAGAGAAGGTGCTGACCCACCCTTCAATGCAGGGACAACCACGAACTCCTGCCACCTGCTGCTTGCCAGCCTGTGAGCCCTGCCCCAGGGCCAGCTGGGTTTTCCTCCCCTCCGAGAGCAGCAGGAAGGTGATGCCATTGGGAGCATCTTTTGCTCCCCTGGGGAGCAAAAGGGGACCCTGGGGCTGGGATCAGCTGGAGTGCTCCCCCCTCCACCTCTGCAGTGAATGCACTCGCTGGCCTTTCCTCCCCCCACCCCAAGAACCATCGACCATTGGGAGTCACTGCGGCCACATCCCAGGGCGAGAGGTGCTGGGGGAGCTGGGGCAAGTGGGGAGGGAGGGGGAACATCCAGTAGGAAAATGCCAGCAGAGATGGAGGATGGCAGCATGAGGGGGTGACCCACACCAGAGCACCTCAAGAGGAATGTGTCCCGTGGGGAGGATTCAGGGCACAGAGAGTTCATGGAGGACTCGCCTGTGAGAGGGACGCCTCGTGGAGCAGAGCAATGCTTCCCACCCCGGTAGGAAAGAGCAGCAGACTGACTGAAAATGCCCATTGCCTTCCTCCTGCCGTGACAGTGGGACAAGGACACAGAGATATCAGGAACAAAACTGGGCCCGGGAAGACAGGAGAGCTGGAGGGAGGTGTTATTGCACTGCGGTAACACTTCTCACTGTCCCACTCTGACTGTTATGTGCTGGGTTTGTTAGTGTTTGAATTAAAGTGAGGCTTTTTTTTTCTTCCCCTAACGGATTCGTCTATTGTCCATGACCATAATGGGTGAGTCACCCCTCTCTGTCCTTCTCTCCGTTCTTGAGCCTTTTGATTGCTTTTCTCCTTCCCAGCGCTGCGGGGAAGAGGTGAGCCAAGGGCTGCGTGGCGCTCAGTTGCTGCGTGGCGCTCAGTTGCCCTCTGGGCTCAAAGCACGAGAGCTGGCTGGCAGCAGGGTGCCAGAAAGAGCAGGACTCCCTGCGAGGGAGTGGGGTTTCCCTTGGGGGTGAGAAGCAGAAACAGCCCCAGCTTAGTCCTGCAGCCACCCTGGGCTGGGAGCGCTCAGGGACAACCTTCGGGCAGCAGAGCTGGGCTGGGGGATGGACCCACGGCCGGGCTGAGGCCCTGCCATGAAACCGCTCAGGGATGGGCGCTGGGGCAAGGGGGTACAAGGGATCTGCTCGTGACGCAGCTCTGCAGACTCCTTGAAGAACCAGTGATGGTGGCAGGACTGCGCCCAGCGCCCTCTTCAGTCAGTCCTATAGTTCAGCCATTCACTTCTATATTTCAGCACAGAAGTGTGTCTAATTTATCTCAAGGGCTCACGTAAAAATTCCCCCGTGTTGCCCATGAAGCTGCAGCACCTTAAGATGTTCTCACCCCTCTGCACAGCTGGCCCTGCAGCTCTGATGTCAGAGCCGTGGGATGTCACGGCCCATGTTCCAGCTGTGGGTTCCAGTGCCTGACAATGGGCACAACCCAAGCAGCCCTCTGCCCTGCCAGCAGCCCCTCTGCCCTGCTCCCAGCCCAGACCTTCTCCCCTGATCCCAGCTCCTCCGTCCCCGCCCGGGTGCTGCCATCTTGGTGGCACCCAAAGAAGAGAAGGCACCTGTGCTGCCGGAGCTGCAGGTGTACTCCACAGAGGTTGGCACCCTGACACTGCCTGGGCAGTGCAGGGATGGTGTGAGGTGGGGACCCCGCTCTGGGGAGCTCTGGGGGCCAGGAGCTTGGCTTGCACTTGGCTGCCAACCCTGCAAGGCCTGGGCTGGGAGAAGCCCTTCTGGGCCGCTCATCCCCTGTGGAAATCAAGCCTCCCTGCCCAGGGGGACACATCCTCGGGGCAGTCCAGGGCGCCTGCCCGGGGCTTGTGCCGGAGGGATGCTCGCCAGGCACAGCTGGGCTCTGCCTGGAGCCTGAGCCAGTGCCTCCTCTGCCCCTTTCCAGGCTACACCATGAGAGCTGTGCCCTGCCTGCAGAGCAGCACCGAGGGCAAGAGCTGCATGCACAGAGTAAGGAGCTTCTGAGCGCCGGGAGAGGCGCGGGGACAGGGTTTGCACGTGGTGGGGCAGGGGTCTGTGCCCGGCGCCCCACGGGGCAGGGAGCAGGGCCTCTCACCTCTGTCCTTTCTCCTCCTGCAGATCATTGCCGCTTCCCAAGCTGCTGAAGCACCAGCAGCACAAGTTCCGCCGGCTGCAGGCGCTCATTCATCTGGACATGTGGGTGCTGGTGGCCAAGGAGCCGCCCAGCCTCCAGCCACTCCTCTGGGGCTGTGCCCAGCGCCCTATTGCCCCACGGCTCTCCTCGGGCGGCGAGAGGGGGCAGGGGTGCCGAGCCCCCTGTCCCACAGCTCCGCTCAGCTGGCCGGGGCACCACCAATGGACTTTTCTGCTTGGCTTTCGACTTAGGGTCTGGAACCTTGTGCTGGAGGCTGTGGGAACACCAGCCAGCAGCAGGGAAGAGGCCGAGGAGATGGAAGTGGAGGAGGAGATGGACAGGGAGGTGGAAATGGAGATCGACCCTCCAGCAGCAGCCCAGGCACATGCTCTCCATTCTCTGCCTGCAGTGGGGGGGGAGCAGGTGGGCCCCGCTGCAGGGACACAGCGCTCGGTCCCCTCGTTCTGGTGGCACAACCGCTACCACCGCACTGCCCTGAGCACCCGTCCGCTTTGGGAAGCGAGCGAATCCTTAGCGCTGGGCAACCAAAGTCTAAGCCAAGCCCAGCCAGAGCTTAGCGCTGGTGGCAGAGTCCCGCTCTCTCCAGCAGCATGTCCCAGGGCTGTGGCAAATATCGTGACTATCAACAGTCTACCTGAAACTATCTTGCTGCTTTTTTTTCTTGCAGGGCACTTGAACACGCTGGCAGGGCTGAAGGGAAGTTGCATATAAGATGTATATATAGCTATGTAGTTTATTTTGTTAGCCATTGTTTTGTAAATGGATTTATTTATGGTTTTCAGCCCCAGGCTCTCTTTGCATTTGTCTTGGTTCTAGGCTGCGTTGACAGGATTGTGGTTTCCACTTGCTTTGGGTTTCTGGGGCTGGAGGTGTCTGGGGGTGCTGGCACGGCTGCCCCAGGGACAGGGGGTACTTGTGCACAGAGCGCGTCCCACTGACGGCGCTCATGGCACTGGGCACCAGTGGGGTTCATGGGCTGCTGGAGAGTGGTGTCCCCGAGAGCAAAGCTGTCACCAGCAAAGAGTTAGTTCTGATGTGTCATGGCCAGTAGTGACGCCATCAAAGGAGCCAGGAGACTCTCTGCTTCCCTTCCTGCTGGAGGAAAAGAAAAAGGACTTGTGGGGCAAAAGCCAGGATCTGGCTGTAGAGATGTAAAATCCCAACTCATCCCCCGGGTGCCATGAGAGCCTTGAGGAAGGCTGGTGCCGGGATGAGCGGAGGTTTTCCAGCTGTCAGTGCCCATGTTTGCAGCTTTGAAGTCGTGCCCGCTCGGGGCTTTGCTTCACGTCCTGCATTGCTTTCCCCTGGGCCGTTGCCGGAGACTAAACCCGAGGCAAAGGGATCCTCGTCCTGCCCGGATTGCTGCTGCCGGCCCCGACCCCGCGCGGGGGGTGACGCGCGGAGTGGGCAGCGCAGCCAGCAGGGGGGAGGGTGCTGGTGACAGGGTGCCGTGGGTGCGGGGGGTGCAAGGCTCTTTGGATGTGGGGTGCAGCGGTGGGGAGCGCTGGGTGCTGGCAGGGAGTCCCGGGGGGTGCCGTGCTGCGAGCTCCAGGGGTTGAGGGGCCAAGGGGCCG